TATAAAAATGGGCCTCTGTGGTTAAGGGTGCGACAGAACGATCTCAGATAAAACCTACGTTTTCAGCATTCTGCGAATGACATCAAAACAGAGTTAGTTGTCTTCTCTCTTTCAGCTCACTGTTCCATTAGCTAATAACGGATTGCTAAAGGGAATTTTAACGTACTGTGTCTTTTGATCCCTCATAACTTTATCAAGGATTATTTCGGAGACCTGTCAGCCCCCAGAATAGGAAAACAATAGAAAAGAGTCTTTGTAGCTCAGGGTTGAACTGAGGGGTCCTGGGTGCTCTCTGAGCTGGGTTATTATCTTGCAGATGTTTCATGACCCAACTAGGCAACATCATCAGTGCTAGAAGGGAGTAGGGTTGTGGAGAGGAGGAGGAGGAGGAGGACTGTGGGGTCCTGGGTGCTCTCTTGAGCTTGGCTGTTTTCTTGCAGACATTTCATGACCTGATGTAGACGGACAAGCAGAAGCCGGGGAAGGAAGTCAAAAAAGGAATCAGCCTAGAATCGTTACATGTCCATAAAGGATCCATGTCCAGCCTCCCCCCCCTATTTCATTAATTCTCATCTAGCGCCAATTTAATGTCAACCATTGGTTGACTAGGTTCTTGTGTATAGCTCAGAGGTAGGCAACCTTGGCTCTTTTATGACTCGTGGGCTTCAACTACCAGAATTCCTGAGCCAGCATGGCTGGCTCAGGAATTCTGGGAGTTGAAGCCCACGAGTCATAAAAGAGCTGGAATTTAACGTGTGGTCCCTGATTCTCCACATCTGACTAGGTAACACCATCGGTGTGGCTTTGTCAAAATGGGGTTTGTTCCCCCATGATACACAGGTAGTCCTTAACAACCCCAATTGAACCCCAGAATGTATGTTGCTAAGTGAGACATTTGTTAAGTGAGGTTTGCCTCCTTTTATGACCTTTCTTGCCAGAGTTGTTAAGTGAAGCACTCCAGTTGTTAAATTAGTGACACAGTTGCTAAATGAATCTGGCTTCCCAGCTGGTTAGAAGGTTCACCAGAGGGGATCATGGGACCCCGGGGACATTGCGACCATCATAAATGTGAACCAGTTGTCCAGCATCCGAATGCAAATCACATGTCTGTGGGGATGCTGCATAAAAGGGTAAAAAAACAGTCATAAGTCCCTTTTTTCAGTGCCGTTGTAGCTTGGTGGTTGTTGTTAGTTGCGAAGTCGTGTCCGACCCATCGCGACCCCATGGACAACGTTCCTCCAGGCCTTCCTGCCCTCTACCATCTTCTGGAGTCCATTGAAGCTCACGCCTCCTGCTTCAGTGACTCCATCCAACCACCTCATCCTCTGTCGTCCCCTTCTTCTCTTGCCCTCCATCTTTCCCAGTATTAGGCTCTTCTCCAGTGAGTCCTTCCTTCTCATTAGGTGGCCAAAGGACTTGAGTTTCCACTTCAGGATCTGGCCTTCAAAAGAGCAGTCGGGGTTGATCTCCTCTAGGACTGACCGGTTGGATCGCCTGGCAGTCCAGGGGACTGTTGTAGCTTGGAACGGTCACTAAATGAACTCTCGTTAAGTCGAGGACTAGCTGCACGTTGTGGAAAGCCACCAGGCTCTGAGGGAATATTTGCCTTGCTCCCTCAGGTGCTGTCCTGGATCCATCCGGAGACCCAGGCTGTCATCACCCGCTCCAGCCAGCCCCTTGTTGGCATGGGTGGGAAAAGGAACAAAGATGACGAACGGTATCTGGAAATCATAAGGGAAACCAACGGCCAGCTGTCCAAACTGACCATCTTCGACGCCAGGCCCAACGTCAATGCCGTGGCTAATAAGGTAGGCGGCCGTCCTCTTCCTGTCGAGACGTACGCCCTTTTCAGTGACGCTGCTTCACTCCGCGGTTAGTCCTCTTCCCGGTCCTCTGGAGGTCTCCAGGCACGCTGAGTCAAAGAGCGTTTTTTTGGCTCAGCCTGTTGAAAATGGTCATTTTTAAATACAGCCAGAGATTTGGAAAGCGCTAACGAGAGGAACGGCTTGAGACTTCGAAAAAAAAACGCTTTCTGGATGTTTGACAGGCAAAGAGCTCTTTTATCCTGCCTGGGCAACATTAGCGGTTGACCAAGCTGCTATCGTGTCGCCACAGCCCCAGAATCTGCCGGGCTGTGGGAAGAGGGCAACTTCCTGCTAACAAGATTTAAAGAAGTAGCTCCACCCTATTTACATCCACAGTAAATTCCAAGTGACTAAAACTTTCAATAAAGCCACCGGAGGGGGAAAAAAAATCATCCATCAATTAATTGGCTAGTTCATCTCCCTCCCCCATTGCTCAATGCTTGCTTAAAACAAGAAGGCTTTGGCAGCCTCACGCAGGATAAAAGCGTTCAGTTGTCTAATTCTTTAAAGAGAGAGATGACTTCTGAAGCAAACAGTTCCTGCCCGTTCTCAAGGAATAGAAGGATTCACGGGGAAAATTTTGACTTAAAAGGTATACTTGGGTGTGCATACTTGTTGTGTTCCATCTGCATTGTTTGCCATATCCAAGACTGGGCCTAGAAAATAACCCCTTTATAAAAGCTTTCTTTCAAAAGTCATCTTGACTTAAAAACTTGGGGAAAGTTCAGTGCTTGTAAGCTAAAATGCAGAATTTTTCCTCTTGTTTATGAGAAATCTGCATTCCTTCCCTCCTGCTTATTCCCTTTGCTTTGTTGTTTCTCCAGCCACACCCAGGATTACTCAGTCCCTTCCATAGCTAAAATTAACTGTCTCAGTTAAAATTAACTCTCTCCAGAAAGGCAGAGAATATCAGCTTCTGGGCCACATGTTTTGAATGCTGTTGAGATTCAGAAGCGCTCTCACCTAAATTTATTTGAGTTTTTAATCCCATCTTTATTACCTTGAAAGCAAGCCAAGGCAGCAAATATAACTAATACGCTTTCCTTCTCTTATTTTCCTCACAACAACAACCCTGTGAGTTGGCTGGGCAAAAAGAGAGGGACTGGCCCAAAGTCATAAAATAACTTGGCTGATTTAAGTCTGATTTGGGAAATAATTTTGGAAAGTTTTGCTTGGAGGTTTTTGGGAATTTCACACAATGTGTACTACTTGTCTTGTGTTCTCCAGTCCCGTGGAACAGTTTTAGCAGCTAGATTGGGGTGATGCAGGTTATGAAAACTTTTATTTTCTTGTAATGCCTTTTACTTTGATGAAGTCTGTTTGGCAAAGAAAAATAACAACCGTAACGCCGACATTTAAACTTAAAAATATTTGATATGGGGAGCCTGGATTCCTGGTGGGATTAGAGGATCCTGAGACTGTGATTAAATCAGTACTTGCTGGAGAAATGATCGTGTTTCATCGCGTAGGCCCTGTTAGAAAGTCAGTTTTTGTCAAGGTAGAAGGAAATGGCTTTGCCATCACTTCCTCTTTGGGGAATTTTTGAATATGGATGTTTGGATGCTTTTAATGTAGACATTTCAAGGGCCATAGAGTCACTCGGATAGGTGGCCTACAAATAACTACAGATAGTTCTCAACTTACGACGCAAGATTTCCATTGTAAAGCAAGACGGTTGTTAAATGAGATGCCCCTGATTTTACGACTTGGTTTTTTTGCCCTGGTTGTGAAGCAGTCATTAAGTGAATCGCAGTCATTAAGCAAATCCAGCTTTCCTCATTGACTTAACTTGTCATTAGCTCACCAAGAACAATCCTGGGATGCTGTGACCGTCGTAAATACAGGCCGGTTGGCAAACACCCAAATTTTGACCCCAGGACTGTAATGCTGCAACAGCCATAAGTGTGAGGACCCACCATAACCCACTTTTCTCAGTGCTGTTGCAACTTTGAACCAGACCAATGCTTGCAAAGTTCCACATTAATATTAATTTATTAAGTTCCGTATTAATTGATGCTTCGGAGCCCACCAAGGTGATGCTTGCATTCTGATCAGAGCTGAAGGACGATTTCGCCCTGTGCTTGGACAGCGAGATCACCTAAGCCGGGGGTCCTCAAACTTGGCCACTTTTAAGACTTGTGGACTTCAACTCCCAGGATCCCCCAGCCAGTCAGCCATGGGGAATTCTGGGAGCTGAAGTCCACAAGTCTTAAAGTGGCCAAGTTTGAGGACCCCTGATCTAAGCCCTGGGGATTTGTTTATTTTATTTTTTTTGCAAACCTGCCAGTTGTGTTGGGAATGTACAGCGACGGTTGTCTGAAGGAAACTAAAACGCTCGCTTCCTCTTGCTCCAAGGCAACTGGTGGTGGATATGAGAGTGAGGATGCCTATCCCAACGCTGAGCTCATCTTCCTAGATATCCACAACATTCACGTCATGCGGGAATCGTTGAAAAAGCTCAAGGATATCGTCTACCCTCACGTGGAGGAATCTCACTGGCTGTCAAGCTTGGAGTCCACCCACTGGCTGGAACATATCAAGGTACAGGGGAGGCTCGGTGGGCTTTCCGCAGGCCGATGCCACGTGGGCCTGGGGTCCCAAGTTCTTGAATTAAACCAGCAAGAGGGGGAGGGTCCTACCCCACCCCTCTCAAGTTTCATTCCCTGCTTCCTTGTCAGCTGGTTTTAACGGGCGCCATCCAAGTGGCCGACAAAGTATCTTCCGGAAAGAGTTCGGTCTTGGTACATTGCAGCGATGGTTGGGACCGCACCGCCCAGCTCACCTCTCTGGCCATGTTGATGTTGGACAGCTACTACCGCACCGTTGTGGGTTTTGAAGTCTTGGTGGAAAAGGAGTGGATAAGCTTTGGGCATAAGTTTGCCTCGGTAAGAACCAAAACAGGAAGTCCTGGTTAAATCCGTTTTGTTTAAATCCCGTTTAAACCGACACACGTCGTCCATGCAGTTAGCCTAGTGGCCTGCCTTGTGAGTAAGCCCCTTGCGTTAAACTGCCGTTTGTCAACTGCCCGATAATGCCAACATTGCTTTGAGACTTGAAAAGCTGGGCACAGTGGCAGACCAAGTCTGATGCTCTTGTGTTTGTGGTCGTTGTTTTCCCAAAGGTGCTTTTTTTTTCAAAAGGCAACTGGACTTCGTTTTGGGAAAAAACAAGAAAGTCCAGTTGTTTTTTTGAAAAAGCACCTTTGGGACAACCATGACCTGGACGACTGAGAATCTCCATAGACGTCTTGCTTATGTTGTCATAAAAGGGCATTTTACAGCAGGAGTCTCCAACCACGCCTGGCTGAGGAATTCTGGGAGTTGAAGTCCACAAGTCGTAAAGTTGCCAAGTTGGAGACCCCTGTTTTATAGAGTCATATGGAGCTCTTTCCCTCTGGTTGTATTGTTGCCTGAAACTTAGATTTTACTTAGATTTTAAGACTCTTGTCATATACTGCAAACGTCCAAAAGTGACATGTATCACAAATAACATTTTTAACCACTTCAGTTAGAAAGTGTTATACTTAAAAAAAAAAAATCAAGTCTAATTTAACTGGGTTTCTTCTTTTACTTCATTCTGTATAAGGGAAGTCAGCTTGTTCACAAAAGTCTGTGAAAGAGTTTTTTCCTTCTAAAGCAAAGCTAACTCGTTTGATTAGAGCCGTTCTCGTTTTTCCTTCCTTTTTCGCTTCAGAGAATCGGTCACGGAGACAAAAACCACGCGGATGCCGATCGGTCCCCCATCTTCCTCCAGTTTATTGACTGTGTGTGGCAAATGTCCAAGCAGGTAAGCTGCGTTCCTTAAAGACGGTGAAGATTTAATTGGCTCGGCTGTAATTTAAGTTACTAGTGCGTTTGCTGGCTGGGGATTTAGGCGCTGTATGAGGACACAACACCACACAGCAAGATATGGGACCTGCAGTGTAATTGTAAATGCTAGCCAGTCACCAAACACCCCAATTCTGATCACCTGGCTGTGGGGAGGGGCACTGCAGTGGCTGAAACTTTGAGGTGCAGTCATTACTCCCTTTCGTTTAGCACCATCATAAATTCAAACAGTTGCTAAACAAAACGTTGAAGCCTGAGGACTACCTGAAGTACCTGGAATTCAGAATGACCTTGTTGCCTACCCAGTTTTTCACTATGAAGAAGGCACTTCTCAAATGCATTTTTTTAAATAGCACTTAGACTTATATACCACCTCATGGTGCTTTACAGCCCTCTCTAAGCCGTTTAGAGTCAGCTTATTGCCCCCAACAATCTGGGTCCTCATTTTACCGACCCAGAAGGACGGAAGGCTGAGTCAACCTAGAGCCGGTCAGGATCAAACCTCTGGCAATGGGCAGAGTTAGCAATAGCAATAGCACTTAGACTTATATACCGCTTCACAGTGCTTTACAGCCCTCTCTAAGCGGTTGACAGAGTCGGCATATTGCTCCCCCAACAATCTGGGTCCTCATTTTACTGACCTCAGAAGGCTGAGTCAACCTTGAGCCGGTCAGGATCGAACTGCTGGCAGTGAGCAGTACGTACCCTGCAATACTACATTCTAAGCACTGCCCCACCAGGGCTCCTTAGATACATTGTAGGGATGGTTACAAAATGTTAATTTCTAACATTCCCATAATTATTTTTAATGTTACCAGCCTGAAATTGGGTTATTATTGAGGCACTTCATACAAGCAGCTAGAACAGGGGTAGGCAACCTTGGCTCTTTTATGACTCGTGGACTTCAACTCCCAGAATTCCTGAGCCAGCTATGCTGGCTTAGGAATTCTGGGAGTTGAAGTCCACGAGTCATAAAAGAGCTAAGGTTGCCTACCCCTGAGCTAGAAGCTATATGTTTGTATGATAGAGGGTGGTGAAATGTAACATTGAAGCAGCTTTGAAAATAACTTGGAAACCAGAAATAACAGGAATGATAAATAATTTGGACTCTGTTCTACTTAGAACGGTTGTTTACATTACTTTGTATCTTATCCTAAACTTTGCCTACTGTTTCTTTTTTTCTAGTTTCCCACAGCTTTCGAATTCAATGAACAATTTTTGATTACTATTCTGGATCATTTGTACAGCTGCCGCTTTGGTACATTTTTGTACAGCTGTGACTCCATAAGAGAGAAAGAGGTGAGTTAACATGTTGGTGATAGAACATGGAAGCTCTACTACGTGTTTGCTTGCTTGTCCAGATCTAGTAGCAACTTTGGGCGATAAGAAATGCGTGATAGGACAGTGGTAGGAGGAGTCATAAATACCATGTAAGGGGACGGTGTTCAGGTGGATGTTTCTACATGCAGCTAGTGCTCATTTAGCAACCACAATTGAGTCTGCAATTCCTGTTGTAAGCTGTGAAGTGAGTCATTATGAACGGGCAGGGCTTTTTGCTGGAAATCAATTTAAAAAACATCTGTATGAGTTGCAGGACGCTGGTCATACATGCAAGCCAGTGGCCAATGTGGGTATGGAGATATAACTTTGAGGATGGGTAATTTTGGTCATTAAGCGAGCAGTCATTGAGCAAGAACTATGTATATCCTGTTTGCATGCATCTTAGAAGAATTGGGTTGCCAAGTCACACACAATTACAAGATAAGATCATCTTTATTGTTGTTTTTTACTGTGAGCACACTGGCCCACGTTAAAAATGGAATTCTGTTGCCTGCTCTCAAAAGAAAGTATCTATCTACCCATACACATACATAACATACATATACACATGCTATATACATACATATATGTGTTAAATTTGGATTGCTTCTTCCCATATTTGGGCCAACCGGGTGCATCATAAAAAACACTTAAGATACATACATATATATATACATACAAATGTTAATATTATTATTACAACTGACCAAGGTGGTGTGAATCTGAAGAGGGGTTTTGAATATGTATTCTCCAAATACTGATGGGAAGACGAGCATCGTGTGAACTGTGCATGCAGCCTGGCTCCATCAGACAGTGGTTCCTGAAACCGGTTCTGGTTTGTTTCTTTGCTTGCAGAAACTGAGCGAGAAAACCTTGTCTCTGTGGTCCTTGATCAACAGTGCAAAGTCAAAATACACCAACCCCTTTTATACGAAAGAACTGAACCGGGCGCTCTACCCAGTCGCCAGCATGCGCCACTTGGAGCTTTGGGTTAATTACTACATTCGATGGAATCCACGGATTAGGCAGCAGGTAAAGCTTCTCCGCTGACTATGCAAATATGGCATAGAGAGTTATAATCTCTTTTTTTTTTTAACCAAGCACACCCTTAACAAAGCTGTTATATGCCAAGTTACATCATCCGTCTCTCTCTGTTCTGCTGTCCCCTATCTGGTCTGGCGGCCCTTTTAAGGATCAGGATCAACGGCTAAAAATGCACCCCATCCTTGTGACTGTGTCCGATTTACAACCTTTTGGGAGCGCAGTCGTTAAGTGAACATTGGGGAATTAAGCAAGCACTCTGGTCGTTAAGCAAACACTCGAGAAGGGTGGTGTTTTTTTCCGGTTAGGAACCGAAAGTAAAGGCCAGTTTCCAGCAAAAATGTAAAATGCGGCCATGTGACCGTGGGATGCTGCAAACAGCTGCAGATGGTCCTGGCTATAAGGGGGGCTCGGCCCTCAGAATCGGGGTCATGAGCAGCTTTTTCAAGGTCCATTGTATTTCCCCAAAGTTGCTGAGCGCCGTCATAACTCGAGGACTGCTTGTATAGCAAAAGCCAAGCTTTTACTTCACTATCGAACCCCTTAAGAGTGCGCTTAAGGTTGCTCTCCCCTTGTTTTTGTGGCTCAATGGGTAACACCTTTTTGAAAGCGGGTCTGCTCCGTGGGAAAAGATGGTCCACGCACGGCGTTTCTTCTCGAAATTTGGCTCAGAGCTGAAGGAGGAAAGAGCTGCTCTGCTCAACAAGGGCAGCTTTTGAGAAAAAAAGCCGCCGGAACAAAGAGTCAGCTGTTTCTTTCCTGCAGGCCGTTGCCAGCAGGCCGGCATCGGGGAAGAAAGGCCAGCGTGTTCTCCTGGCTTAATGTTGGTTCTGAAGATGCTTGCGGGACTCAAAAGGAGAAGTTTGAAAGGGATGCAGAGCAAGACCTGAGTTTACTGGAGAAAAACAGAGTACGATGCTTGCGTTAGGCAAAGGCTGTAGTGACCAAGAATGTTTGAACTAGGAGCATTAAGCCTTTTAGGGCAGGTGAATTCCTGATGCCCCCTTTATGCTTCCCCTTCAGGGTGGGAGGGCAAATGCCTATTGGATAAACTCTGATTTAAAGGACGGGAAAGCAGAGAGGGCCAACGAGGTGTGATGCTTCGAAAAATCCAATCAGTGCAATCTGTAATTCGTACACAATTCGCTCTTCCCTCTCGTACGACTCGTGGTTTGTTTTACGTAACCCCCCCACTTTGTTCCATTCTTGTTTACCTTGCAAGGGGTGCCGCAAACCAGATCCCTGGGTTTGACAGCATACGCAGAACCATCCTGGCTTATTCCAGGATACTACAGCTAGTTCTTGGCTTACAACCATTTGCTTAGTAAACTGTTCAAAGTTAGAACAGCATTGAAAAAATAAAAATCACCACCAGTCCTCCTGTTTATGACCGTTGCAGCATTCCCACAGATGATCAAAATTTGGGCCCTTGGCAACTCGCATATATTTACGACGGGGGGTTACAGCGTCCTGGGATCCCGTGATCGCCAAAAGCTAGATTCGCTTAATGACCACGTGATTCACTTAACAGCTGAAGCTTTCAAAAAAAGGCAGAAAATCATAGCAGGAATCAGCAACATGTTCACCGTTAACCAGCCTTCTCTGTATCCTGATTAATGCCCTTTATCCTTTTCTTATTTGTCAAAATTCATGGAATAAATGCGTTGGGAGTGTTGGGAAGTCAGTTTCTCCTTGGGGGGGGGGGGTTGTATATGGCCAAACTCTTGTCATTTTAATACCTTTTCACTTTGTTTAGCAGCCCAACCCAATGGAACAGCGTTACATGGAACTTCTAGCCCTGCGCGATGATTACATGAAGCGGCTGGAAGAATTGCAAATCACAAGCAACCCCAAATTGTCCAATTCCTCCTCCTCTTCCTCCTCCTCCTCCTCCTCCTCCTCTTCCTCCCAGATGATGTCCCATGTGCAAACTCACTTTTGAAGGAGAGAGAGAGAAGCGCCACTCTTCTGTCCGAAAACGGTGCTCGTTCAGAGGTGCGGGACACGAAAGGAAAAACTACAATGCCTTATCTGAAGCTTCTTCCAGAACGCTTGCCCCTGCGGAGAGGATCTGAAACCAGGGGAGCTTTTTAAAAGTGGATTTACGTGCCTTTGGAAATCTTTCGCCGGGGAACATGCTATCCCGCTATCCTAAAGCGTTGTTTTGTTCTGTTGTCGTTTACTTTGGAGCATCCAAAATATATTTAGCTAGCGGTTTCAGTACTAATCGCCATTTGGGGAAGAAGCGTGATTTCATTGTCCATCTCCAGGGTGTTACCTCGCTCAGGCTTAGCTGCATCTCCGTCTGGGTTAGCGTGGACCTTCTGAGTCACCCGTCTGCGCGGGTGATTGGAGAGGAGAGTTTAAAGCTAGACCACCTGCAAGACAGTCTGGCCTCAAGGAACAATTTCTTTCCGATCAGAGGCCATTTTTAATGCATAAGGTGACAGCATTCACAACTGCGAGCAACCAGCAACCGAAAACTTTCCTGAAAACGTGTGCCTGTTAAGCGATAGCCTTATCTACAGAGCAGATTAACGTTTAATTTTTGAAATGAAGGGAGGTGTTTGTTGTATGTGTGTGTGTGTGTGTGTGTGCGTGCGTGCGTGAGCATAACTGTGTGACTGACATTCTGTAATGGATTTGTCTTTCCTGAAATACATTAAAACAATTTGCAGAAAGTTTGTGCACTGAAAAAAAAAAACTTAAATCAGGGGTAAAACAACTTGGAATCTTCCTCCTGATGCTTTGCACTTTGATTGCTATTAGCCCCAGATAATATTGCTAGCAGCAACAGATTGTGTGGAATATCTGGAGTCCACTAAGTTGTCCGATCCCTACATTTAAAATTTGCAGGGTGGGGCTTTTTTTTTTCTTTTTTTTCCTTTTTGGTCATTGTGTTGGTCTTCTGTCAAATTTTATGATTTGTTCCTTTCAGGAATCTTTTTAGAGCGTAACTTAACCGAGCACTTGTAAAATCAGCACAACCCCTGTGACTTGATCTTTTAATACCTATTTTGCTTAGGATATAAACTTTTAAAGTGGTATTTGGTCATTTCAGAACAACTGAAACATAGGATTTGTGAGGACAGTCTGTAGCTAACATGATTTATTTTAAAAGTATTGGGATGGGGGGGGTGTTACCATGTGTAAATGACTTTATGTGTAAGTTTTGATCTGCAAACTATAAGGCAGAAATTATAGGATAAATGTGTAAATTAAGGATATGGAAGTCTTTTCTGTAAAGTGTAAATAATATGATTCTAAAGTTTAAAGTCAAACTCCAAAATATTATAAATTTCTTAGTTTTAGAGGACATTGGAATATTTTAGGAATAGTATATTTTCAGTATAAGAGTAAATGGAGCACATTAATAGAATAAAATTGTATACTAAGAAATTTGCACTATTTCTTCAGGGATAGACTAAAAAACTTAGTAATTTCAGCTAGCTAGAGCATGAATTATTTTCCTTTTTCATGTTTGTCCTCTAAAATATCATTCTTTGGTGATGCTTTGGTCTTCTACGTTTTATTGCACCTATCAATGGGTACTTTGCTAAAGGGAAGCGAGTTGGAGAAATGAAATACGTAACTTGAATCACAAAAAACTCAGACGTAACCCATCATTCTATTTTATTAGAGCAGAAAACCGAAAAGCTATGCAGACTCAAACATAACTGTCATTTGCTTGCTTGCAAGTTATAAGACATCTCATTTTTTCCTTGCTACCCTAAAACTTTGTGTTGGTGGTAAATCCACAAGAAATACCTGTTTCCTTTGGACTGGGGTGAATGAATTAAGACACGTTTGTTTTTACAAAGTAAAACACTACAGCTGTCAACTGTTTGGGGGAGGAAGTTAAACTAAAGGGGTTTAAAATGCCTTTGCCTTTTTCATTACTTGCATTTCACCAAGGCATTGCTGGATCTTGATTTCTAGAGAATTTAATGTTGTTTGGGGGGAAAACGTAACTTGGTGAAAATGCTCATTTTTTTTCTAAAAAAAAAAAAAAAAGACTGGCTTAATTCATATGAAATAAAAATCAAAACACTTAATTTTTTATCTGATTTCTTTCCTGTAAGTTATACAGACTGGGGGTGGGGGGGAGAGGGCATCAATCCCGTGGATTTGCTGAGTTTAGGGTGGGAAATGAGGGTGGGAAAGGTCCAGGATAGGCATTCCTTGCGCTGCTGCTGCTGCCCTTAATTCCTGGCTGGGGACGATGGGAGTTGAAGTCTACCGATTTGGAAAGTGGCAACAAGGGTCACTGTTGAAATACAAAGCCGCCAAGGGATCCAGTATCCCGTGAAGCCATCATTGTCCCAACCACAGCATAGGAGTGACCAAAACGAGGCGAAGGCACATGGGATGCCGAGTCCCTCATGACTCTTTTGCCTAGTAAAAATGGGAATTATAAGCATTACATCCCACACCGACGTTATCCATTCCCCCAGCTTGGTACAAGCATTGTCCATTCCCCAATTTTGCATACCTACCCTTGCACGTCTTCCCCTTCTGCACACCCACTTTCCCATTCCCCAGCTTGGCACCACCTTTCCCATGTCACAGCTTTGCACACCCAACCACCTGTTCAACTGGCCCCAGCGTTGCCATTCCCACCCCCTGCACTTCTCCAGCTTTGCTCAGCCACTTCCCTACCCCAGATTTGCTTACCTACCCACTTCTGTTCCCCAGCTTTGCACACTCGCCCTTCCCCACCCTTGCACACCCACACATCTCTATTCCCCAGCCTCACACACTTCCACTTCTCCTTCCCCAGCCTTGCACACCCACAAATCTTTTCCATTCTCCATTCTTGCACTCACATCGCACTTCCATTCCCCAGCTTTGCACACCCACACGCCTCTATTCCCCTGGCCTTGCACACTCGCCCTTCTCCTTCCCCAGCCTTGCACACCCACACACTTTTTTCATTCTCCAGTCTTGCCTTCGCACTCCTTCTTCCCCAATTTTGCACAGCCACACTTCCAGTCCCTAGCTTTGCACACCCACACACCTCCATTCCCCAAGCCCTTCCCCACTCCTCCTTCCCCGGCCTTGCACACCCACACTCGCCCTTCCCCCCCATTGGCCCCAGCCTTGCACACCCACACACCTTTCCCATTCTCCATTCTGGCACTCACACGTGCACTTCCATTCCTCGGCCTTGCACGCCCGCCCTTTACGCCTGCCTGCCCGGCTTCGGCGGCAGGGCGGCGAGGAGGCCCGGCTCGGCCCGGCCCGGAGCGCCTGGCGCGGCCCCTCCGTCTCCGGCCCGGGGCGCGGAAG